TTGAAAAAGATTGGGGAAGCCTGATCTATATCTTTCTCTACAGTACCCAGCAGAGGAGGCACATTCACAAGGGTGCTTAACAACAACAAAACAAAAAACTCCTTTTTTTTTTTAACAAAAGCTATTATAATATCAATTCATGAGGAAAAACAAAAATCATGCAAGAGTAAAAGACTCACTCAAACTGGAAGATAAACAATAGATTTTAATGCAACCGAGTGCGCAAAGTTCATTTGTATGGTTTCAGATTCCACACTGCAACTAACCTTTAAGAAGTTACCACTGGTCAAATTTTCATGTAGTATCAAAGAATAGCCACAATTATCTGAAAAGGCTCTTTTAAATGTTTCCCTTTTTCTAAATGTGTATGAAGCAGATTTTCATACATTTCAATCAAAACAACATTTTGCCACAGATTGAATGCAGAAGCAGATATGCTTCTATTAAACAAGACATTAAAGAGATCTGCAAAACTATTGTTTAAAACTCCATTCTTCTCCTTATTTTTCATTTTGGTAAATGTATTTATTTTTCACAAAAATATGTTATGCATGTTAACATGTAATGGGTTTGTTATTGCTATTTTTTAAAAAGGTAATATATACGTATTTTTAAACTCTTAAGCTTTAATTTCAAACACAGTAAATATTGATAGATATACCCTATGTAAACAATAATATTTGCAGCCCCCAATAATTTTCAAGTGTTTAAAAGAACATTCTGTTGGGAAAGGAATTAGTGTACTGGGGCGAGAGACTGTAGGAAGAGAAATGCTGATGCTCATGAAAGCAAACATACACTTTGTCACAGTTTCCTAACCAGTGAGTTGCAACAATTTGGCCCATCACAGCACTATCCTTTATGAGTCACCTGAGTAACTCTGTTTAAAATCTTCGCTGAATTCTCTTTCAATGTGTCTTTTTAAAGAACACACTTAGGAGAAGGTTGGATGTTTGAGCCACAAAGTCTATACCCAGAAACCAACAGACACTTGCTGGCCACTAGCCTCACCGTGGATAAAGTTGGCAGGAGGCAAGAACATATTCCTGTCTGACCCTGAAGTTGTTCATCCATCGACTGCTTCAGAAATGAGGTTTCTATGTTGCCAGCCCTTGGTTCTCTAGGAGACTGTCAGTTACATGCCCATGTCCAGTCGGTTCTCCTTCTGCCTCCTGCTACTGCCCCAGTATTATTTCACGAATACTTTTCTCTAGCAGCCAAGTAGGGAAAGTACAAGAAGAAATGCATAGCAGTCTCTTTTCAACTAGATAGCTTCTCTGACAGTCAAATGCAAGACAAAAAAGCATTGCTTCTATCAATTATCATACTTTTCTATAATGGAGCCCTGGTGACTCAGTGGTTAAGAGCTCGGCTGCTAACCAAAAGGTCAGTGGTTCAAACTCACCAGCCACTCCTCAGGCGAAGATGTGGCAGTCTGTTTCCATAAAGACTACAGCCTTGGAAACCGTATGGGGCAGTTCTACTCTTTCCTATAGGGTTGCTACGAGTCGGAATCGACTCGACGACAACAGTCTTTTTTTTTTTTTTTATATATATATAATAACTTTAGCATTCTATAGTCTCATACTCCTAAGAGATGGAGAGTGGCTATATTACTAGGTTCTCTGCCTACTTTATTAACCGCAGAGAAATACAAAGAATACTGGTGGGCATTAAGGTGGAAAGTGTATTTTACCTGGGATATTTTTTGAATCTTCATTTATTTCCCGATAATAAAAACAATACATAGTTAATATTTAAAAAGAGAAAATGTGCAAAGACTCTATAAGAAAATGAAAAGCACCTGTAATCCCATCCAAGGTATTCACTATTAAGTTTTTTCATTAACAGGTTTTTCATCTATGAATATATCTATGTATGTACATGTATTTTTTAAATAAATAAAATCACATCATTCACACACGCAGTTTTGTATCCTACTTTTTTAAACTTAATTCATCAAGAACACTTTTCCGTATCTATATCATCATTATAAAGCCTGTCTATTATTTCATGGTATGGATGAAAGATAAGGTATTTAACCAATCTCCTATTGTTGGATATTTGGGTTGGAATTTAGAATGGAGATCTTTAAATATTTTTAAAGAGCTTTGGGGTGAGAATTCTAATGCTTAGGTGCACAGTCAAGAGCCCCTCTCAAAAGGTGACAGACAGGTCCCTATGTCCTAGGGTTGGCAAGAGAAGCGAGAGGAGGATCTCACCAGAGTGTTGAACAAGTGATAGAGCTACCATGAGCAGAGCCATACATTTTTCCAAAGCCCCCTCATGGACAGAGCTGTAGCCATGAGCCCTATAAAGGGTGTGACTCAGCCCACAAACATAGGTGTAAAAGAAAGAATGCCTCATGATTATCTATAAAGGAGTCCCAATTAAGCACTCAGCTACTAACTGAAAGGTTGGCAGTTTGAACCCATCCAGAGGCACCTTGGAAGAAAGGCCTGGCAATCTACTTCCGAAAGGTCCCAGCCTTAAAAATCCTATGGAGCAGTTCTACTCTGCTCATCTGGAGTTGCCATGAGTCAGAATTGACTTAACAACAACTGGTTTGATTTTGATTATTATCTATAAATCAACTTATTTTGTTCTGTTTTTGTTTTCAACCCCTCCTCTACAAGTATTGGAAACCCTGGTGGTATAGTGGTTAAGAGCTACAGCTGCTAACCAAAAGGTCAGCAGTTTGAATCCACCAGGCACTCCTTGGAAACACTATGGGGCAGTTCTACTCTGTCCTATAGGGTCGCTATGAGTTGGAATCAACTCGATGGCAACAAGTTTGGTTTTCTGGTTTTTCTGTCAGTATAGCAGTGATTCCTGGTCAGAACCTCCCTCCCATCCCCACCTCTATGGCTATGTCACAGGTCTTAGGCAAGGCCAAAAAATTGGGGATGGGGGCAAGTGAGGAGAAAGCCTTTGGTCACCGAGGTGTCTGTCCCACACAAGTGAGCTCTGGGATGCCCATCATCTCCTTACTTCTTCCGTGCTATTCCTGGTCATGGGACTCTATTGCGAGGCTGCCAAAGGCTTCAGAGTCTGTATGCTGATGAACTTCCAACTCTATACTTTGGACCCTCCAGCCATTCTGTGGGAGAAAGATGTGGCAGTTGACTTCTGTAAAGATTTACAGCCTTGGAAATCCTATAGGGTCGCTATGAATTGGAATCAACTAGAAGGCAGTGGGTTTGGTTTGGACCTGCCTTCTCATCTTCGCTTTTGGACAGATAATGCCCTTTCTATCTCGTATAATTGATTGTTCTGAGGAGTACATTCCTCTCACGTGTTATTGTTTATCTTATGTGCTTAACTATTGTTTGGCTGGGAGGTGGTCTCCGGGAATGGCTTCAATTTCCAGGTCAGAATGTGTCTTAGGGCCATAGTCTCAGGGGTTCCTCCAGTCTCTGTCAGACCAGCAAGCCTGGTCTTTTGTGTGAATTTGATTTTTTGTTCTACAGGTTTCTCTCACTCTGTCCAGGACCCTCTGTTGTGATCCCAGTCAGAGCAGTTGATAGTGGTAGCCCAATACCATCTAGTTCTGGTCTCAGGATTGTGTAGGCTGTGGTTCATGTGGCCCATTAGTCCTTTGGACTAATTGCTACGTCCCTCTTTCTTCCTCCCCTTGTACTGTCATCCCCTTCTCTGCAGCCATTACACTGGCCTCCTCGATGATCCTGACCATGCCAAGCCCTCTCCCACCTCTGCACTTTTCACTTGCTTGGCATCTCTGCTTGAAAAGTCCCTCCTTCTCCTTCAGGTCACCCACCAGTACCATCTCTGCGAGAGGTCATCTTTGACCATCCTTATAAAAGTAACCTCCCAGTGTTATCTCCATCATCATCCTTTTTGTTTCCTTCATAGCGTTTATCAAAAAATCTGTAATTATCTTGTTTGGCTTTCTTCATTAGTTTACTTGCTAACTAGCTGTCTTGCTGATGGAATGTAAGCTTCCTGAGGACTGGTTCACAGCCTAATTCCCAGATCCTAGAAGACAACCTGCACATAGTAGGCCTGCAATATCCTTTGCTGTAGAGTCAATTTCAACTCATAGTGACCCTGTAGGACAGAGGAGAACTTGCCCCATATGGTTTCCAAGGAGCAGCTGGTGGATTTGAACAGTAGACCTTTTGGTTAGCAGCCGAGCTCTTAATTGCTGCCCCACCAGGGCTCCAGGCCCTCAACAGATGTTTCCGAATGAATGAATATGTTGGAGGAAATCCTTCTCTGTCCATGTTTATTCTGAGGCCAAGAAAACACTCTGTTTCTACCCTGGGGTGGGGGGTGGGGGGTGCACCTTTTATTCTTCTCTGAAAACCCCCTTAGGTACCCTAAGGTTTTGGAGACCAAAGACCAGGAAGGGAAGTTCTTTTCATCAGAGGCAATTTCTGCTCTTTACCCTTCAACAAACCTCAGCTGAGGGGAAGAAAGAACACAATGCTAGTTGGGGAGACTGGGTGACAGGTGGAAGACTGGAGAAGAAGAAGGGAAAAGGGAAAATTCAAGGAGAAAAAAAAAAGGTAATTTCTGTCAATATAGCCCAGCAAACCTTAGTTGAAGGTATTATTACAGCTGGTTCATCAAAGCTCTGTCTGATGTCAGGATGGAAATCTGACTGTCTTTCACAAAGAGAGGTGTTAGCTGGCGTTAGCTCAATTGGCAGACCGGCGTTGTTCCTACTTCCGGACTCCAGTCTAAACAGGACCCGCCGTTCAGGTAACTGCAGGGCGGGGAAGTCTGTGAATGGCGGCAGCCCAATCCGCCAGACCAATGGTGAGGGAGGACTCTGCTTCTTAAGCGCCATTGATTCAAACAAGGGCTAGAATACCAGACAGACAATCCGCCCCACAGATCTTCCCCTGTCATTCCAGAGTTTGGGAAGAGGAGCCCAGCCTGCTGCCAGGTGCTGAGTGGCCAAGCAGAGCTCAAGGGCACAGACCGCGGCGTGGGGCACCCATCTCTTTCACCACCCTCCACTCTCCCCCAGCATCATGGCCGACCAGCTTACAGAGGAGCAGATCGCAGAATTAAAGGAGGCCTTCTGTCTGACAAGGATGGGAACGGCACCATCATCACCCGAGAGCTGGGCACCGTCATGCGGTCCCTGGGCCAGAACCCCACCGAGGCCGAGCTCCAGGGCATGGTCAATGAGATCGACGGTGACGCCAACGGCACCATCGACTTCCCAGAGTTCTTGGGCATGATGGCGAGGAAGATGAAGGACACAGACAGAGAGAAGGAGCTCCGGGAGGCCTTCCTTGTATTCGACAAGAACCGCGATGGCTTTCTCAGCGCAGCTGAGCTGCGTCACGTGATGACCACGTCTGGGGAGAGGCTGAGTGATGCGGCGGTGGACGAGATGATCCGAGCAGTTGACACGGATGGAGACGGACAAGTGAACTATGAGGAGTTTGTCCGCATGCTGATCTCCAAGTGAGGCGGGCTGGGGAGCTGCTCCAGCCCAGCACAAATGGTTCCTCTTGGCTTCGGACTTCACTGGCGAGTGCCTGTGTCGCTGTTTCAAAAGCCTTAGTCCTCAGATTTCTTCCTTCATTCCTCCAGCTTCTTCTGGACTCTTTTTTTTTTTTTTTTCTGGTTAGTTGACTCAATCCACTTTTATGCATCTCATTTTCCCTCACTCCTTCCTGTTTTATGTTCTCCCTTTATGTTCTTTCTTTCCCACCTTCTCCTTCAAAATGACACTGGGCACTCCCAAGCCTAGCAAACAGTAACATCCTTTCATTACTCGGGAGCAGAAGTAGAAGTGGCATTACTCCGAAAGGACAAGTACATTTTGCACTGACTTTGCCGTTCATTGAGATGTGAGCAGTGTGACATCTTAGAGCACTCTGGCCATGACCTCTAAAAGGGCACTCAACACTTGGACCAGGGTAGCTGCTAGCCCTCATCGATGCCTGAATCCCCTGCTGACTGAAGACTTCATCTGCTGTTGTGCTAAGGACACTGGATTCGGGGGCGTGGGAGAAATCTTGGCACCTAGAGGGAAGGGTGGTGATGGAGACTTTAACATCTGAGGTCAGGCCTCTGAAAATCACGACTTGCCTTCCATAAGGCACTTGCTCCTTCTATTCTGTCTTTGCTAAACCTCTGTGATTCATCTTCTGAGACTGGGAGTAAAAACTGGGGTCAGTTGTAACATGTTTGTCTTAAGCTGGATGGAGGGAAATTTGAATGAAAGAGAGAGGGAAACTGCAGGGGAATAAATAAGAGCTCAGTTCCCTATTTTGGTTGTTTCTTTTTCTTTTTTTGTCTGGTTCTGACTAAAGTGATCTTTGTTGGGTCCAGGGTTTAAACCAGGGGGGATCTCCATTTTTGTGCCTTTTGAAAATGCGATGAATTCTTGCACTGGTGGGTGTAGTGAAAAGAGAGAAGTCTGGAGAAGGTAAATCTGGAGTATTTATTTTAAATAGAAGGATAAGTTGGTAGCAAAGAGTGGTTAATGTAGAGCTCCTAAAGATCTAAGTCAACTGTAATTGAGAAGTCTGATCACTGTTTTTATTTCTCCTGCGTTGGCTCTCTGGGTGTTGTGAAATGCTCTGTGGTTAGAAGAAAGTGAGGGACTGGAGAATGCTAACTGTATACAGGTATCCCCCGCTTTTCAAAAGCTCCCTTTATGCCACTTCACTTTTGTGAAAGACCTACATTAAACAAACAAAAACCCCAAATCCATGCCTTTGAGTCAATTCCGACTCATAGGGACCCTATAGGACAGAGTAGAGCTGCCCCACAGGGTTTCCAAGGAGCAGCTGGTGGATTGGAACTACAGACCTTTTGGTTAGTAGCCAGGCTTCTAACCACTACGCCACCAGGGCTAGGCCTACATTAGTACCCGTTTTCTGTTTTCGATAACGGAGAGAAATCCAAAGAGGATTTTCACTTATAGGAACAAAGTGAGAAGCAGAAATAGCATTCAGCATTTGTTTTGTAGCAAGCCATTAAAGTGGCAGCGCCCCGCACCGCCCCCCCACCCCCGCCCCATCCTCCCAGCAGCAAGAATGGCGTCTTCAAGCTCCTTCCCCAGGAACTACACTCACCATCAAGCTGCCATAGCTTTGAACTGTGTCTGTGAGCATCTGTGCTTTACCTCGATTTATTTTGTCCATCCTTTAGCAAGATGTCTCCTAAAGTATCAGGAAAGCATAAGAGAGCTCGTAAGGGTGTTATGCTTAGCATAAAACTGGACCTAGGTTATTTTTTGCATCTGGGAACGTTCAAAAATTTTTCCCATATTATTGATGGTAAGTGCTTCTTCGCTTTATGCCATTTTGGCTTATGAAAGCTTTCATAGGAAAGCTCTAACTTTGGATAGTGGGGGAAACCTATATTCAGAATACAAGGTGGGAATACAGTTTGCAGATGGTTATTCTCTCATTCTCCCAGAGACTTCCAGAGGTTGGATTTGATAATTTCAGAGGTCGAAGAGGCCTCATCAGAGATCATTTTACTTCAAGAGTGAGGCAGTGTTTGTGGAGGGGGCAGTAGACTGGGGCTCGTCAGAGGTGGTTCCATCCCTGGAACAGCCACAAAGCAGCTGGTTGATCTTGGACAAGTCCTTTCTCCCTCTCAGTTGTGTTTCCTCACGTGTAAAACATGGGCTTGGGTGATGACAGACTGGGATTCCAATCCTGGCCTCACTACTTATCACTGCAGACTCTACTAGAATCACTCAGCCTCTCCATTATAATAGCTGACACTTACACAGTCCTTACAATGTGCTAGGCAAGGGGCAGATTAACTCACTACCATGCTGTCAGGAACTACTGTTATTAACTTCCCCATCTTACAAATGAGGAACCTGAGACAGTTTAAGAAATAAGCCCAATATCACTCAGCTGGTAAGTGGCAGAGCTGGGAGTTGAATGCAAGTCTATATCCTTGACCATTCTGCGATACTGCCTTACCATGACCCTTGCCTCCACTGTGAACTGATGATTGTAACAGTATCCCTGAAACATTTGCAAGGATTAGTAATAATATTCTTAACACACCTGGCATGTAGTAGGTGCTTAATAAATGACGGCTACAATTATTATCATCTTTAAGGGCTCCTTCCAACTCTAATGCTCTGTGAGGCTCTGAAATATAGTTCTACCCCTGTAAATAACCCAAGGGAAAAGACAGGGCAGAAAGGGGTCAAGAGCAGTCTCTCATGTGCCATCTTTGACTTCTGAGAGGACATCCCAGGGTGAAATCTCAGATAGGAATTGGCCCAAATGCAAGTGTAATTTTAAAAGCCTCCCGCCCAGGTGGTAGAAGAGGAGGATCATGCTCTCAGATAGCAGGATCTGTTGGGAGCTAATCCTCCCTGCAGCCTTCAGCAGTCAGAATTGGCTGACTACCTCCAGGAGGGGATTTGGAAACAAGCCTTGTGAGTGCTAGGAATGAGTGTCCAGGTGTCACTGGGCAGCAGCATTCTGTGAGCAGAAGAGCCAAACCATTAACTTTGGAGGTTCAGACATGAATTACAGTTCTGCCTGTCAAAATCTGAAATGTTGGCATCGCTACCAGGGTCAAATACAACTCAGGTCTCAATGTCTTTCATAAGCTGATTCCTAAATGCTGTAGGAAGGAAAGAAACTGGAGTCAGGAGAGAAATGTATCCAGAAGACTTTCTTCATGAATGTCAACTAGTTCTGTAGTCACCAAGCACAAACCTGGCAGGAGACTTGACATTTAATCCCTTTCTTTTAAGGTATGGGCCCTAATGAAGCATTTACAAATGTCAGGACCTGTATGTGCTGCCCAGAGCCCTGGTGGTGCAGTGGTTAAAGCACTTGGCTGCTAGCCCAAAGGTGGCCGGTTTGAGCCCACCAGCTGCTCCTTGGGAGATGTGGCAGTCTGCCTCCATAAAGGTTACAGCCTTGGAAACCCTATAGGGCAGTTCTACTCTGTCCTATAGAGTCATTATGCGTCAGAATCGACTAGGTGGCATCAGGTTTTGGATATGTGCTGTTAGGAGTCTCTGGATGGCACAAAAGGTGCTACTAGCCGAAAAGTTGGTGGTTTGAACCCACCCAGAAGCGCTTTGGAAGACAGGCCTTGCAATCTGTTTCTGAAAGGTCACAGCCTCGAAAACTCTATAGAGTACAGTTCTATTCTGCACACATGGGTTCACCATGAGTTGGAATCCACTCAATGGCAACTAACAACAACATATGTGCTGTTAATGCTTCAGCTAGGAGGGGACGAAGGTATCTTTTTCTGTTTCCCACCAGACTTCCAGCCAACTTCCAAGCAGATCTTTTTGTAATCCCATTCATTATACTGAAAGCACCCATTCCTGAGTCTTAAAAGGCTTAAAGAGTCTTCCGTGGAGAATTCTTTGTACCAGGGCAGGGACTACACTTGTGTTGCAGAAAGGCCTTCCCCACTATTCATATGCCTATTTCCAAGTCCCTGGTCCTCCCTTAGGGTGTCATAGTGACAGCCCCGGAAGCTGGGCTGTGGAGGGAGGTTAGGGCAGGTTGGAATGATGGTGCCACTTTCTCCTGCCTCCAGAGACAACATTGCCCTTCACACCATCACCCTGTCTATTCTGTCATTATTCTCATGATGCTGAGTGTCAGTTAGGAAACATATCCCGTTGGACCCCTCAGAAGCAAGCAGATCCAAGGTCAATGGGATTCTTTTTTTTTTTTTCCTACAGATGAGAAATCTGAGGTCACAAGGTAAAAGTGGCCCTACAGCAAAGTCGAATGCACTCCCCTCCCTCCTCTTAGATTTACATCCATGAATACAATTTTTTTTTAGTGCCTTCCCTTCTTTCTCACTTAAGCAAGAAGGTCATCCCCCCTGGCCAAGGTGAGTGCAACTTGCTCAGCCACATGGGTTGACGCTCTCTGATTACCCTCACCTCTGCACAGGGGTGTGATGTCCTAGGGTGTTCAAGACCTCCTTGGCCAGTGGATCCAGAAGTCACACATGTAAGAGTCTTTCGCTGTGGATGGCAGCAGCACAGGCTCCTCACAGCCCCAACCTCCATTACTGAGCATCAGCTACTTTGACTCACTTTTCCCCGTGGCAGCCTGTTCTATTACAAAATGCTTTCAGGACTCAGGGCCACCTGGGCACGACTGTGAACGTCCTCAGCCTCATCTCTCCTCCACTTTTTCCTCCTTTGTCCTTCTCCCTCCCCACACTGCTCAGTACAGCCAAAGAGTCTGTCCTCAAGGAAAGTCTTGTGTGTAAAATTTATAAAATGTGGTCATCATAATTGCCAGGTTTAGGCCCTTGGCCTTGTTGAGCTAGGGAAAGGGGAGACCTAGAGGCTGGAGCACCAAATATTCATTGATCTGAAGGAAGAACGTGAGAATATAAGAGAGGAACCCAGGCCTATCGGTTAATGCTGTCTTCTTGGCCCAAGTTCCTCCATGACAAAGACTTTGAGGCAGTTGCTCCTGAATAACGTTTCCTTTT